GTGCAATCTTTACAATAATTGTAAATATGTAGATTTTTTATTATGATTTAATGCACACTCATTTATTTATATAAACCGAATTAAAAAATCTCTTTAAAATAAAAATATGGTAGATGAAGAAAACTGCCTTAAATTATTTAAACTTCTTGGGGTTAAAGTTTCTTATTAAAAAAGAACCAACAATTTTTGCATTTTTAGTCGCTTACTTTTTTATTTTAAATTTGGAAAAAAAATCAGAAAAGCATAGAAAAAAATCATGAAAGCAAACATGAATAATTAACTCCTGTTAAAAAATTATAAATTGTGCTAAAAGGAGGAAACCAAGAAAATAAAATCAAAAAGAGAGAGAATAAATAATAGTACATACTACTCGTACAGAAGTGGGAAAAATGTTAAGCCCTGCTGAATTCGACACCATTATTACCCAATCTTTTGATGCCACTACCAGTGCTATCACTTAGGTTCTTCTTTACACTCACTACCACATTACTCCAGATACCAGCAGCAAGTAGCTTTTATGTTTCTTAACTGGGTGACAATAGCGAAGGACTTAAAAATAAATAAATCATTTACAACTCAAGGTGACTTTTTGTGTGAATCGTGTGTGTGTGTGTAAAAACATACATACATACCTATAAACAAATGGGGGGAATACTCTCTTGAAGAGAATACAATAAGAACTGCGTTCATTTACAAGAGCTACTTATACTCAATGAAAAGATTTTATTGTTAATGTAACCATTGTTGTTGCTGTTACATATTTAGTTGTGTTGATATTTACAACAACAAAAGTCAATGAAATTTAAGATGGGTTGGAAGGTTAGGTAGATAACAATATTAAGGTCTCTTACCTGATTTATATTATTTTTTGTCATTACGTTCATTTATATTATTCAGATTATCTATATTAGGGAGACCCCAAAAAGGCTTTTTGAGCAAGTAATAATGATGACAGATTTTCATGACTTGAAAAAAAACAAAGCTCATTTTTTGTGAGACAAAACTGATCATAAATTTTCCTTCTTCTCTTGATTTGCTTATTCAGGAATTTTACGCAAAAATATGATATAAAGAAATAATTTTTTTTTAATTTATACTTAACTAGAACTGAACTAGAACTGAACTAGAACTGAACTAGAACTGAACTAGAACTGAACTAGAACTGAACTAGAACTGAACTAGAACTGAACTAGAACTGAACTAGGACCTGAACTAGAACTGAACTAGAACTGAACTAGAACTGAACTAGAACTGAACTAGAACTGAACTAGAACTGAACTAGAACTGAACTAGAACTGAACTAGAACTGAACTAGAACTGAACTAGAACTGAACTAGAACTGAACTAGAACTGAACTAGAACTGAACTAGAACTGAACTAGAACTGAACTAGAACTGAACTAGAACTGAACTAGAACTGAACTAGAACTGAACTAGAACTGAACTAGAACTGAACTAGAACTGAACTAGAACTGAACTAGAACTGAACTAGAACTGAACTAGAACTGAACTAGAACTGAACAGAACTGAACTAGAAACTGAACTAGAAATGAACTAGAGTTGAACTAGAACTGAATTAGAACTTAACACGATTGTAATTGCATTCTCTATTTGACGCTTATGAATAAACTACAAAAATTTTTTTTAGTAAATAATGAAAAATTATATAAAGTTTGTGAAGGAAATATGATATTATTTACATACAAAACTAATAAATTACTATATTATTTTAAATTATCCACAAAAATAAATAATTCCTAAAGTTTCAAACTGTTTGGGACTCATGTTTGGTCTTGCTGAATTATAAAATCACTTATTTTAATAATAAAATTGCCGCAATGTTTTTTATGCAAATCATTCACACACAGTGCGTATGAGAAATGTTCGCATTCTAACCAACAAAAAAATCACTCATACGCTGCGTGAAACATTTATATTTTGAAAAGAAATCAACCAAAAAAAATGATAATGCAGTATTTGTCCAACCAAGAAAAATACTACAAGAACATTTCATTTCAATGATTTATGAAATTTATTCGGTATTTTTTAACATGCAAAAACAAAGAAATCTTCAAACCAAAAAAGAGAAAACATACGCACCCATTTCTAAGCAAATTTTAAGTAAATGGTATTCAGTTTGTTTGTATATAGTATATACTACCGATCAAATAACCTAAACCAAGGAAATCTAACAGAAAAACCTTGACTTTCACAATGCAAATAATGTGTTATTTATTCGTTTGTAAAAATTTGCCAATAAAAGGCAAACAAAATCCAACAACGCACGAACTCAAGATAAACTTAAGACAAACATTTTTATTTAAGTATTTTTGTGTGTTTTTTTTTTAAATGAGTACAAAAATAATAAAATGCGTGCCAAAAAATAAAACATTTTAACGTTTTGTTTTGATATTTTTGGTTTTCTTTATAAAGCGGAAATAAAAAGTATTCAAACATGAAAATTCACAATCTTAAAAAAAAATAAATAAAAAAGTTTTTTTTTTTTTATTACATACACATATGCAAGTAGATATTTATACTTGTATAATAAGAAACCATGGGAGGCCAAAATAAGACCTCTAAGTTTGAAAGAGATATCGTACAATTTTGGTAATAAAAAGGAAATACAAGTTTAAAAACAAAAACCCCAAAATCACGCCATGTGTCAATTGCATCAATTTAAAATTATATTTCATATGAAAACATTTAAAATGTTGTACAAAGTTTTATCTGTGTTTCTATATAGCTATTGTTTAAAAACAATTCTTATACCCTGCAATACTAAGGTTTGTAACATTTAAAACACTTTAAAGTATACCCATCTGTTAGCTCATAACCTGGGCCTTATAATCAAAATACAGAATGCAATTTAAAAAATAATTAGTTTAAATTTGGACATATTCTATTTTGGTTATTAACTTACTAAACTCACTATAAATATACCCATAGCTGTCATAGGGTATCACATGATCGGTTATGCCCCTCTATACTTATCAGTATGTATATTTATTGAATATATTTATGATCCCAGCAAAAACATGGTAATGACTACTTGTACATTCTGAAGAAATTATTTTTCCATTACTACAAAACTACATACTTACTTAACACTTTATTTGCAGGTGATGGTAGTAAGTACTTATCTAACTACCTATTTGTAAGCGAGCGTAATAAGTACTTGCTTTCTATGTCATCACCGTATTTAAATAATTACATAAAATGCTATTGTGTAAGTAAATTTAAGCATTTTAACCCCTTACTTTTCAATATAAGTTTTTGCTGGGATCTTTTGGTTTCATTGTTTTAAAGGAACGTATTTGCTTTTATGAAACAATTCCAGAAACATAATTATTTGTAATAAGAATTATTAAGCTTACAAAGAAAAATATTTTTTAAATACATGGAATTGAAATTGAAAAACAAGTTACTTTATAATAACATGTCAAACACATGCTCCCCCCAGGCAATTTACGCATCTTGCCACACATATTTGATCAAATTAAAGTAAGATAAAATCAGCATGTTATCGCTAATATTGGCAATATAATTTAAAGCAAATTTAAAACACGGATCGTAAAGGTTTGTCTTAGTTAACTGAAAATTTTAAATATTTCGCTGAAACAACTTTTTTACTTAAGTTGTTAATTTGTAACTAATATACTTATTTATGCTTACAATTTTAATTAGTATTATTTATTTACTTTTTCACAACAATTAGTAACGATTTTTCTACTCAGTAAACATCAAAAAGTTATTATTAAGTAAAACAATCAGTCAGTCAGTAAGCACGAGTTATTCAAAAATATTACTTTAAAAAAATGATAACAATATACAAAATATTTCTAATTTCTTTATTATATCATTACGTGTTAGCAGAAGGTTGGTTTGACAATATTTTACATTTACAACTTATAGATTATAATTTTTACAGAGATTTGTTTACCTCATCAACATCTCGCATCAATAAGAGAGCCTTGTGAGCATATGTGTTTAATAAATGATGATAATAAACCCATTAGAAAGTGCTATCATGCTGATATGAGAAAATGTATATGTGCCGCGGGTCTTTGTCGTGATCCTGAGGGAAAGTGTGTGAAGCAAGAGTGAATTAAATGTATTTTTCGAAAACAAAATAAATAATAAAATCCCTGCTCAAAAAGATTATTTATGGATCATATATGGATTGGGGCAGGGGGTTAATATGGGCCTATCCTTATAAATTTTGGTAGAGGGATCTACATATAGTTTAAAGATATTTATGCAGTATTTCATGGTGATATTAGTGTCTATAAGTGAATTTTAATCATCAAGTCATTATCTGAAGGGGACTTTGTAAGTGGCCCAGGGTCAAATGAGGCCCGATCATTACAAAAAGCAGCAAAATCATTTAGACTTATATAAAGCTAAATTTTGCCGAGTTTTGGAGAGATACAAGAACATTTAACATATTTATGAACTCAAAAGACCAAATCGTGGGGTTACAGTTGTATGGGAGCTAGGCGAAATAATGGACCGATTTTATTTATTTTCAAAATTTCGTCCTTGGATCAAATCATATTGAAAATTATGACCTATGGCGTGCGCACTAGTTCTACATGTACGCACAGACAGACGGACGGACGGACAAACTCAGAAAGTGATTGAACTTAACCGATTAGTTTACTTTAAGGTTGGTGTAGGACCAATATTTTTAAGTGTTACAAACATCAGCACAAACGCATAATACCCTCCCCACTATGGTGGTGTAGAGTGTAAAAATTCCAATTATTAAATTTTTCTGGAAACTGGAAGATACAGAGCAGAAATAATACGGTTTGTGAGGGAATTTCAGCAATTGAAAACCGATAATTTGAACAATATCGAACATAGTCTGAAATTAAATTCTAACCTTCTTCTGAATATGATTTTAACGGTAATAACCCGATGAAATTTTTCATAATATTAAATTTTTTATTTTTAATTTTTTTTCACTCTATAATTAAGTTTGTAATCCCTTTTTATTTAAAAAATTCTTTGAATATTTCGCACACATTGACCACGTTGATTGCGACAAAATAGTGCAGCACAAATGCAACGTCTTTCCGTGATACGATAACAAACAGATAAACGAAAATCGGTACACATCTCTTCACAACCAATCATAGAAGGCGAAATCGGTATTTCATTACTATCACAATCTCTAACTAAAACATAAAGCAACAAAAAAAATCAAAAAATTAAAATTAAACACTCTATAAATATAATATTAACTTTTTTAAAACTCCACCACACAGCTGACGCGGTATGCATTTTTGTTGCAAGTTACGAGCATAATTTGGTCGACAATAACAACCAGCTACTGGACGTATTGATGTTAAAGGACAACGACGTTGTAAATTCTGACAATTAACATCACACATAGGTGAGGGATCAGTATAGTATAATTCATTAGCAGGACATTGAGCTTATAATAACAACGACAATAACAGCGTAAGGATTTCAGCGTTGTGGATTACACGTATTAAAAAAGGATTTTATGAAAAAATTGTAAATAATGAGGAGAAACAAATGAATATTACCTACCAGCATGTGTCTGTATTGTAATTATGGAATTTAGTAATAAATAAAATATGAATATTAAATGCAAATAAATAATCATTTTGTTTTGAGTTTTTTGTTTTATTGAAGTGTAACACGTATTCAATGGTTTAACTTTGTTTCAATAAATAATAATATTTTTAATATAAGCAGGTGTTTTTATAGCATTAAATGTGCAATAATTGAAATAGTTTATTGTTGTGACAATATTGTATATTTTTTGTATTATATTATAATAAAATCAATTCATACATATCGGGGATTGAAGAGGAATATTTTGTAGATATCTTCGAAATCACAGAAATCCACTATGTGTCGGAAAAGGGAAAAAGGGAAAAAAAGCATAATTTGGAAAAAAAATTAAAAAGATTTTAACAAAATGTTTATATAAAAAGTTAATTTTTGGTCAGAAATATGACTGGGATGATATAAAAGTTTGGTTTTAGTTTATTGTTTCAAAGTTATGATAATACCCTAGACCACTATAGTGGGGAGGGTATTATACGTTTGGGCTGATATTTGTAACGCCCAAAAATATTGGTCCTACAACTACCTTAAAGTGTCTTGTGTCCATGTAAACCTTGTACATACGAAAATAGAAAACCACAATTTGTTAAAATATTTCGGAATATATTATATTACCGATATAATATATTACCGATGTTATTAGTACCCAAAAATATTGGTCCTTAAAGTATACTAACCGGCTCAGAATCAATGAGTCGATTTAGCTATATCTGTCTCTGTGTATCTATCCGTTTGTCTTCATGTGTGTCCATGTAAACCTTTTTAGTTTATTGTTTCAAAGTTATGATAAAACCCTAGACCACTATAGTGGAGAGGGTATTATGCGTTTGGACTGATGATCCAAAAATATTGGTCCTACACCTACCTTAAAGTGTCTTGTGTCCATGTAAACCTTGTACATACGTTACCGGTCGCAATTTTCGAGATAATTTCTTTTGGTCCAAGGACGAAAATCGAAAACCACAAATTGTTAAAATATTTCGGAATATATTATATTACCGATGTTATTAGTACCCAAAAATATTGGTCCTTAAAGTATACTAACCGGCTCAGAATCACTGAGTCGATTTAGCTATATCTGTCTCTGTGTATTTATCCGTATGTCTTCATGTGTGTCCATGTAAACCTTGTGCGGATGCTACAATTCGCAATTTTCAAATTTGGCACATACTCTTCTTTTGAACCAAGCCTATTCAAAATAGTTAAAATTGGTCCATTATAATCATACCGCCTGGGCTTTTGAGCTTATAAATATGTTAAATGTTCTTGTATCTCTCCAAAAACTTAGTTGTATAAAAGTCTAAATGATAAGTCTGATTTTCGTAATGATCGGGTCTCATTTGACCCTAGCCTCCATACAAAGTCCCCTTCAGAAAATGACTTGATGTTCAAAATTCACTTATAAACACTAATATCACGATGACATTCTGCATAAATAACTTTAAGGTATATGTAAATCTCTCTACCAAAATTTATAAAAATAGGCCTATGTTAACAAAAAAAGAGATTTTCTAAAAGAGGGGTTATATGGGGGCAGGGGCCATATAACCCCTCTTTTAGAAAATCTCTTTTTTTGCCAACAAATTTTTAAAATATTTCTGAATTATTAGGTAAAAATCAAAATATATTTCACATGTTTAACATAATCACTGGTGTAGGGTATCATATGGTTCGCCATGCTCGATTATACATTCTTACTTGTTTTTGATTCAATTTAAAACATTCACTGCCTTATTCATAAACATTTATCAAAGGTTTATAAAACAAATTTTGTATGAAAATTTGATTTATAAACTTTTGATAAAAGTGTATAAATTAGACCCATTAAATTTAATTAAAAAAAATATATATTTCCTTTTTTATCTGTACATTTAAAACTACAATAGATTTGAATTTATTCTTGGACAAAACACAATCGGCACACAAGTTCCCTCCCCATCTCGGGCAAATCCACTACGACAAAAGCAACCCGTACGATGCGGTTCACCTTCTTTTGCACAAGGTTTATTCAAATTGGCACATTCACGATCACAATTGGGACCCAATGTCAGAAATATTTCATTTTTACCCCGCGGACAAGTTTCATCAGCTGAAATTTCTTAAAACAAAAGTAATTAAATAAAATAAATCAATTATTCAAAATTTCTTTTACCTTGAACAATTACAAGGAAAATAGCAAAACACCAAAATATTACACAATATTTTATCATATTTATTGCAAATAAACCGATATTGAAATATTTAAATAAAATAATATTTATACAATTGTTTTTCGCAGCAGAAACAATAAATCTGTTGTTGTAGACTAAATAAAAGTTTTATAGAAAATGAAATGGATTTTGTATTGAATTGAAAACAAAACGAAAAACTTAATTAAAGATAAGAAATAATGAAGAATAATAAAGAAATAATAAATGATAAGTAAATATAGTAAATCTTGTGTATGACTCTCAATGTACTATAAATACTTGATGTGACTTAGTTTTTTCCATAATAAAACACTTTTAATCTTTCGAATTAATTACCATGAAGACGAAGTCACTGTATTTCTGCGTCCTTGCATTCGTTTTATGTTTTACTACTGTTACGGGTAAGAGTTTATTTTAAATAAATTTTGAATATAAAATAAATCGACTCAGAAAGTGATTCTGAGCCGATTGTTATACTTTAAGTAGATAAAGTGAATTATGTTCTAATTTAAAGTCTTTTCCAATACGAATCTAATTCTTTCCGATAAGAACGAATAACCTTGAATATTACAATGTTTAGGTCCAAGCCTTTAACTCGACTTAAATATATTTTAATTTTTAATAAATCTTTTTAACTTTTACCGTATATGTGCAGCCCAACGAGAATGTCGCATGTATATGTCTTATATACGTCAGGGTCAGAGGGTATGTCAACGTATATGTTTGCCCTCACCTCAAATAAGATGTTATACTTCTAGATTTGGCGAACGAATGTTTCTTTGTCCTCCAGATTGTTGTCGTGTGGGCAATACATGCAGACCTCCATTAATTGTTTAAATAAAGCGCAGATGTAAAGGAACTTTGTTTTGAATTGACAGATCTAAAATTATGAACTAATCAATAAACTTTATTTCAATTGTATTTTTTCAAATTTTACTAAAATCAGATTTTTTGAGACCCCTCATGGTCCCACTCTGATTTTTATACTCTGCATTTTATTCTACATGTTTTTAGTGATCAATGATCATCTTTTATAATCTAAAATATCTGAATTGTTAGATTAAGATTTGCTAAAGCCGAATTCTAATCGTATTTTAATTCATATCCCATTCGAATCTAATTCTTCCCGATTAGGGCGAATGATTTTCAATTTTTCATTACATGCTTACATGTTACGACTTAAATATATGTATGTATTTTAACTTTTAATAATTATTTTTTATTACTCTTATGATTTATGTGCAGCCCAACAAGAATGTCGCATGTATACAACTTATATACGTCGGGGTCAGAGAGTATGTCAACGTCTATGTTTGCTCTCACCTCAAATAAGATGTCATACTTCTAGATTTGGTGAACGTATATCTCTTTGTCCTTCAAATTGTTGTCGTGTTGGTAATACGTGCAGACCTCCATAAATTGTTTAGATAAAGTACAGCTGTAAAAGGACCTTTTTTTAATTCGATAAATTTCCAATTATGAATTAGTCAATAAACATTATTACAATTATAAAACAACCTAATTTTTCAAATTTTACTAAAAATTTACATATTTTCTTGAGATTCCTTTAAAAATAGATTTTTGATAAAAAAAAATAGGGATCCGAAATCAAATCCCCTTTTCCAAACTCCTAAATATTTACTATAAGTTAAAATGATTTTGGCGCGGAATATGATGTTTAGGAGACAGGAAGAGGTAATATCTGAACTATCTCTTATACTTATAAGATATACATACATAGACTTGGAAAAGTGATATAATTAAAATTTTTTATAAAATTTTAGTTTAAATATAATTTTGTCCTTAATCTTCTTAAATTAACCTTTTTTGTGCAGCCCAACCAGGATGTCGCATGTATTCTAGACTTATACGACGAGGTCAGAGGATATGTCAACGTATGTGTTATCCAACACCTCATATAAGATGTTATACTTCTAGATAGGGTTCTATAGTTGAAACGAAAAGTCGACTTTTCGACTTTTTGCATTTAGTTAAAAGTCGACTTTTCTACCTTTCGACTTTTTCCATTTTATGAAAAGTCGATTTTTCGACTTTTCGACCTTTTTCATTTGTTTAAAAGTCGACTTTTAGACTTTTCGACTTTTAGTATTTTATAAATGGTCGACTTTTCGACTTTTTCCGACTTTTCGACTTTTTTCGACTTTTTCCGACTTTTCGACTTTTTTCGACTTTTCGACTTTTTTCGACTTTTCGACTTTTTTCGACTTTTTCCGACTTTTCGACTTTTTGATTTTTTACGACTTTTTGACTATTTTCGATTTATTTCGAATTTTTCTCGAAAAAGCATTTTATTTTAGTCATTAGGAATCATGATTAGAGGAACGGAACAGTAATAATCTGATATTTTTAAATTGTTAAACATTTTGATTGTAATTTATTTATTTTCTCTTTACAGCACAATTAGGTTGCCGCATGTATAGCGTAGTTTTGCGACCGGGTCAAAGGGTATGTCAACGTATGTGTTACCCTAGAGTTGGGAGACCTAATATAGCCTGCTATACAGCTAGACGAGTCGAAAGACAAAACCTTTGTCATCCAACTTGTTGTCGCTTTAATAATAGATGCCAGCAACTTTTATATACTTAAATTAAGACGATATTTAATAAAAAAACGAAATTTTATAATTAAGTAATAATTTCATAATATTGCAAAGACACCATAAAAATTAACACATATTCAATAAAACTTAACACGCGTGTAAAATTTTAATTAAACTTAATCAAAAACCTATTTTTTATTGAAAAATTGATTTGTGTGTAGTTCCCTAACGAACGGTACAATTGATCAATTAAATTTTTCATCAAAATCGATTTTTATATGAAAATCCAAAAAAATCGGCTCATAGTGGGCCATTTTAAGAGAAGGCAGTCCTAAATATTTATATTGATAGTACCTCGTAGAAAATTTAAAGTTTTTAGCTATTATAGTTTCTCAGATATACGAAATTTAGTAAATTATCGCTGGTCTACCTTCGTTTTTAATATTCATACTTAAAACCTTCCTACTTTAAAAGATTAGGAAGGAGTAGCTGCTTTAGTTTCCCAGATATTCTAATTTTTACATTTACTTCATAGAGAAAGTGCCACGCACACTATTGCTAATCTTCAAATATTTTATCTAAATGATAATGTTAAAGTTTTCCAGATATACGAAGGTCTGTTCTAAATATCTATATTCATACTAAAGTTAATCGTACAAAATTTTGTGACTCTAGCTTTTATAGTTACCCAGATATATACATTTTAATACTAAATTCATCTGAGAGTTGCCACACCTACTTTACTAGTTCACCAATTTTAATACCCTTCACCTTCGTGAGAAGGGTATATATAAGTTTGTCATTCCGTTTGTAATTTTAAAAATATAATTTTCCGACCCTATAAAGTATATATATTCTGAATCCTTATAGATAGCGGAGTCGATTAAGCCATGTCCGTCTGTCTGTCTGTCTGTCTGTCTGTCTGTCTGTCTGTCTGTCTGTCTGTCTGTCTGTCTGTCTGTCTGTCTGTCTGTCTGTCCGTCTGTCTGTCTGTCTGTCTGTCCGTCTGTCTGTTGAAATCAGTTTTCTGAGGACCCCAGATATCTTCGAGATCCAAATCTTCAATAATTCTATCAGACATGCTTTCGAGAAGTTTCCTATTTAAAATCAGCAAAATACGTCCATTAACAACGGAGATATAAGCAAAAATCCGAGACAACCTCTGAAATTTTCATAAAAAATAAGCAACAACAACACTGCTTATTCATTGCGTTGTATATTTTGTTATTGTTTTTTGATTATTTCGTTTCGTATGTTTGAATGGCTGTGTGTTTCATCGCCATGTGTATATTGTTTTTGTTTCTTGGTGTATTCAGTTTCGTATGTTTGACTGTCTGTTGGTTTCATTGCGTTGTGTATTTTGTTTTTGTTTTTTTGTGCATTTCGTTTCGTATGTTTGGATATCTATTGGTTTTACTGCCTTGTGTATTTTGTTTTTTGTGTGTTTATTTCGTTTAACGTTGTTGTTGTTTATTTTGTTTTGCTATAATAATCATATAGTGAGGAAAATAAAATAGATTTAAATTTTATAAAATTGATATTTTTTAAATACGCTATGGTGAAGGGTATATAAGATTCGGCACAGCCGAATATAGCACTCTTACTTGTTTTATATGAGTTCACCAGTTTACAAATTTATTTTTAAATTTATTTATTTTGAAAATCATAAATCTGTAAATTCTCAAATAATGATCCAAATAAGAAAATAGCGAAAATCTATGATCATTTTTATTTTATATCTATGCAAAACTTTGTATACACTCCACTCATATCGATTTAGAAATGGAAGATTTATTTAAAATAAAGTTTACGTTTTTATGTGAAAAAATTAAGGTTACGTACACATCTAAATCTGCAACGAAAACAATATATATCTAAATTTTCGACTTAAGCTATTTTAACATGCAATCACAATTAGTATTCTTTAACAATTTATCCCCTTTTTACCCACAAATACCAACTTCCATCTACTAGTGCCATCTCTGTCATAATTTGACATTTCATATGTTTCATTCCATCATGTTTCTCTAGTTTGACAATTAACCCAGCTGTGTGTGTGTAAAAAATGAATAAGTGAAGTTTTTTTACGAGCTTAAAAAAAGAAAATAATTTTATTTATTCAATATATTTTATTAATACAATAAATTATTTAAAAATACAACTACACAAATATAACTCTTCAGCATAACCATTGAAATATAAAAACAAAAACTACGTCTAAGTAAAAATTGTCATCGTAAAGATGACAAAAATAAATAAAATGTTAATAACAACACCTCTTATGAGGAAGCCAATGACGTTGGCCAAATCAATATTTGTCTTTTTAATAATTGCGGCATTTCTACGTGACCATCTAGTGGAGGCACGTAAACATCATTTGGAAGTTCGAGTAAGTATTGATGAAAGAAATTGGAAAAAAAATTAAATAATTTTATAAAATAAAAAAACAACAAATTTTAGACCGATGATCGTCCCTATATTGCCTTGTCAACGTTTGGTTTCTATACGAATGGCCATTTAAATGTTAATCTTAGCAAATTGGTGTTGTCCTCGGAAACGGGTAATGAAAAGGTTTGTTATGAGAAATAATTCTAATGTTAATTTTGTATATTAACTTTATTTATATTATTCCAGCTGGGTTTGTCTTTGGACAAGACTACCATCGATCAAATGAATCCTTATTTGGATTCTCATCAAAATAAATGTTTATTGGAAGAATCTTGGAGTCTTCAAAGAAGTGGTCCAATTTTATTCTTTTTATTTGATTTGAAGAATTTACAGTAAGTTAAGCATATTTAAATCAGAAACCTCTTAATAAATATCTTGTAAGGCTTCATTACGTTCGAATCAATCGAACGCATATTAAAGCGAATGCTTTGTTGGACACTCCTTTTCCTAGAAAAAAAATAGTAGGGAATATATCCTAAATCATAAAAAAACTTAGTTTCTTAGAACCAGGTCAGTTCAGTGCATGTTATTATATACTCGACAAAAGCATGTCAGAAAAAATTATAGGCCAAATAATGAGAAACTCAGTTTCTTGAACGTAGTTCCTTAGATGTTTCCAATCAGTGTTCCTAAGGGATGACGCTCCCAAGATATCTTAATATGATAAACTTTTTTGAAACCACACTAGATTAATTACATATTAAATTTTTAATATCAATAATCAAACAAATTTTTTTTATCCATTACAGAGTCCATGTAAAATGCTCACCCGAATGGCGCAATCAACACATCTACAAGGACAGCTCAATGTTTCCCATGTACCGTGGCAAACGACAATCAAAAGTGCATACAACTCAAAATAGACTAGTTTTAGGACCCCGTCGTAGACGTGATGTTGCACCACACGAAGGAGAAGCCAACGGCGAAAATATGCCACCAGTTTTACTCAATGAAGAACAACTAATGGATGACGATGATTCGTACGAAGCACCCGCAGTCCCCTCTAAACCAACAGCAGCTGCCAAAAAAGTCAAAGAAGAACAAGTTATAGGTGAAAATCCTGTAGCAGAAGAAAAAACTCAAGGAAGCGGTGAAAAGAAAGTTGAATCATCCGAAAAGTCTTTAAACCCACCTACCATGCCAGCAGCTGTGATGCAACAAGCTCCAGATTATTCCTCAAAGGAAAATGTACAAAATCCATTTTGTAAAAATTTAATTCTGCCCTTAACAAGGACAAATGTGGATGGTGTAAATTATTATAATATGTCGGTATGTATTAGACAAGTAAATTATATTGAGTTTTTGATATTAATTTTTTACTTAATTATAGTTTTCTATGTTTGTGGGTTCATTGCGTGAGGAGGGTCTTTATAATTTATATTTCCATAATTGTGAGAACTATCATGGTTTCGATAAAGAAGTTTCATTTGTGGTAAGTATTAAAAACAAAATTTAAGTATTTTTGTTAGTTAATCAAAAAGAATTTTCGCTATTTAATTTTTTAACTCAAAACTTAATTTATTCTAAATATTTATTGGTTTTTATTACAATTTTATTTATTTTTTCTTAGGTTGATATTGAAGAAAACAATAATGGCAACTATTTGTCAGCTGGAGAAATGCCTTTGCCCGCTTTATATTTAATGATGTCTTTACTATTCTTTTTGTCTGGTCTATTTTGGGTATTTATCTTAAAAAAGAGCAAGTGAGTTTTCAAATTTGTAATATTTTCTAATTAGTTATAAATATTTATATTTTTTTTTTTTTTTTTGTTGCAGACACACCGTTTACAAAATTCACTACATAATGGCGGTTTTAGTATTTTTAAAATCATTGTCTTTAATGTTCCATTCAATAAATTATCATTTTATTGAAACCAGAGGAGAACATGTGGAAGCATGGGCCATTTTATACTATATTGCTCATTTGTAAGTATGAAAAATTATGAAATTAGGAAGAATTTTTCAGAGAAATCATTATACAAAATTAATTTCCTAGTTAAAAAACACTTTTTCGGCGAGTTTTTTTGCAAAATAATTTAACATATTAAAAACAAGTAAGAAAGTATAGTCGGGCGTGGCCGACCATATGATACCCTACACCAGTTATGAATATTAAATGTGATTTAATTTTCATAATAAAGCATTTATCTTCAATATTCCCTTGTTCCGATACATTTAAGCAATTTATGGATGAAAAACTAATTTTCTGAAAGAGGCTTTATATGGGGGCTAGGGGCAAATATGGACCAAGCCCGATAACATTTTGTGAATATATTTATATTTACATAATATTTTATTGTGCTGAATTTCATCGCGATATTTGTGTTTATAAGTTAATTTGGGACATTCAAGTAATTTTCTGAAGGGGACTTTGTATGGGAGCTAGGGTCAAATGGGGCCCGATCTTTATGAAATTTGGCAGGGTCATCAAGACTTCTATAAAACTTAGTTGTGCCGTATTTTATAGATACATATATCTGTATATTTAACATAATTATGAGCTCAGAAGGCCTTTTCGGGAGGTTCTGTTCTATGGGGGCTAGGTGAAATAATGGACCGATTTTAACCATTTTCAATAGGCTTCGTGCATGACAAATTTCATCCAATTATCTTAAAAATTGCGACCTGTACCTTGCGCACAAGGTTTACATGGATAGCCAGCCAGACGGATGGACGGACATAGCTTAATCGACTCAGAAAACGATTCTAAGCCGATTGGTATGCTTTAAGGTGGGTCTAGGACGAATATTTTTGTATGTTAAAAACATCAGCACAAATCCAATATACCCTCCCCACTAAAGTGGTGTAGGGTATAAAAATGTATGACAAAAGCTCTATAAGAAACTAGGTTTTTACTAGATTTTTGCGAAAAAACACCGCGAAATGATTTTTTTACAAAATTACTAATTTTGACTACTTTTTGTCAAACAATTTTTCGGCGATTCTTTGACTAATTCTTTTAACTAGTTTTCTTAAAAAGTTTTTAACGATTTATTTTTTTTCAAACAGATTTGACAGATTTTATACAGAACGTTTTCCACAAGTTTTCTATAAAAGTTCTGGACTAGTTTTTGAACAATATTTATATGAGTTATCTAGAATATTTTCGACTAGTCGATCTTTAATCTTATTAGAAGTTTTTGACGAATATTTTTAACATAATCATTAAACATATTTTGATGAATTTTCTATAAAAGAGAGACTATTCCACAAATTATTAAAAATAATGTTTTTAACAAGTTTTCTAAAAAAAAATATAAATATACTATAAATATATTTCCTATTTCTTACCATTTACTAGACTTAAAGGAGCTGTACTATTCATAACCATCGTTTTAATTGGCACCGGTTGGACATTTATCAAACATATACTATCCGATAAAGATAAGAAAATCTTTATGGTTGTAATACCGTTACAGGTAAGAACAAGAAACAAGCATAAATAATTTAAAATAAAACCAATTTAATAATATTTTCCCCCAACCACTTAAAGGTTTTAGCCAATGTTGCTGAAATTATTATCGAAGAATCCGAGGAAAGTGATGCTGAATACCGAACCTGGCATAATATATTCATATTTGTTGATCTGCTATGTTGTGGTGCCATATTATTCCCGATCGTCTGGTCGATACGTCATTTACATGAAGCCTCTGCCACCGATGGCAAAGCTGCCATTAATTTACGTAAATTGAAATTATTCCGCCAATTTTACATAATGATCGTTTGTTATATCTACTTTACACGCATTATTGTTTATTTGCTTAAAATGACGGTGGCCTTCCAATATGCCTGGTTGGATGAAATGTTCCGTGAAATGGCCACTTATGTTTTCTTTGTCTTGACGGGCTATAAATTCCGTCCAACATCATCACATCCTTACTTTGATGTGGACGATGATGATGATGACGACGATGAGGTTGAAGTTTTAACCGAATCGGGTCTCACACATAATATACATCGTACTAAGGCACAAAATCGTAATGCTGTGTCGAGTACCACCATTATTGAGGGTAATGATGAGGAGAAAGAGAATTTAATTTCTAAACGAGAATCATCACATGAATATGATTAGAATTTATGTTGTAGGAAAGTATTTAAAAAGAGAAACAAAATATGTTTGCAAAAGAAAGAAAAACTATAAATGATTTATTTATATTAAAAATTTATGGTTTAGGAATTTGCTCCTCTCACACATACACATTTTCTATTAAGTCTAGACTGAAACAAAAAGATGAAAAAAAACTAAGAAAACTTATATTAAAAATAGTTTTTCTTTTGTATTACTTTCAATAAAAAAAATAAACAACTAGATTTTTAGTATGTACTTTAAACTTTATAAAAGCAATAAAATATTTAATTTTGAACAAAATATTTTAAATAGAATTTCGCAAAAGTCTTAAATATTATTATTTTTTATAACAATTACAAATACATACATACATTTCAATAGTGCCAATGATTTACAAGAGTTTAATACTAAACATATAAAAAGGCCAGACATTTGGAATATAAAATTTGTTTTAGCTTCTTTTATTTGCAAATTTTTTTTAATAACTTTTGAATTTGTTTAATTGTTTTAAAAAGTAAAAGCCTTTTCCAAAAATCGACTGCCTGTTGTTCGGTGTTTGTATGAAAACCATTCCAAAATAATTTTAAAAAAGTGATTGCTTTTCATGTAAGTTTTTTCCAACTCAAACATCGACTTAAACGGAATTTTAAATATTTTTGCAATAAATTTAATTTATTACAATTCGAACACAACATTCTAAATTTATGTATTGTATATTATTATTTAAAAAAAAATTTCCACAAAAGTTAAATGAAAATCTTTACAAAAAACTTAAACAAAACAACAAAGAAATCATAATTTTTTTTTTTACAATTAGATTTTTATTAAGACAACAAAACATCCTTTTTTTATAGATGAGCTTAATTAATAATTAATAAAAGAATGAAGAAAAAACACACATACACATAAATAAACATTATAGTTTTAATTTAATTTTTCTTGTCATCTTGAAAGTTGGTAAATTTCGGCATAAATTGTATAAAGAAAATCATATAAGTTGTTATCGAGCCAATGGCCTAAAGAAGAAGGAAGAGAGTTTCAAAAGAGTGAGTGAAAAAATATCTAAAAAATAAAACAAACTTACCCTGGTCAACATATAGCCATCCATGCGAGTAATACCAATACCATTGATACAGATGCGTTGATGAAGAATTTGTAAAGAGAAATTTTGCAACTAAAAGGTAAATAAAAATTATAAAATTTTATTTATAAATAAAAACCATATAATTTTAAATGTTTTCCATTTTTAGAATTCAAGAAATATTCGCGAAAATTTTTAAAAATAATAAAAATTGATTTATTGTTTTTAAATATCTTACTGCTTACCTGAGTACTAACAATACTACTATGATTTTCAAACTGACTTACTATACTGTGTAAATAAAAAGTAATAAGTTTAACCTAGAAATATTAAATCAAAAGAAACATTATGTATTCTATGGTCCCACCACGCCCAAACTCACCACATCCATACAATTTTTTGAGGTTATTAAAAAAGCCGGAATTTGAAAACAGGCTGGTATTAACAAAATTATTTCTGAAATTCACAACATATGATGAAATACTCAACACTTTTCCCCTATTCGAAAAACCCACTCTACATACCAGTTGTATCCCAATTACAATAGATCGCATAGTAAGCAAAATATGCATCCACCAAAACACGCACATAAATCATTAATATCACCGCAATTATGGAAAATCCAAAACCATTTTGAAAATGTTCAAACATTTCGAAAATCATTTGATAAGTTTTTTGCTTGTCTAGTATTTTTTTACGCAAAAATTCCTCGAATCCCCTAAAAGTACAACCGTAAGCCATAAAACGGGAATAATCGACCAATAAATTTAAATCTTCCTGCAATTTCACCAATTCCAAACGTAATATTTCGATATAGAATATAAATTGCATATTACGTAAGTGCACAGCATAGGTAAAGGGTGTGAAAATTATACAGAACAATAACACATGTCGTGTCGTTGTTTGAAAGCTGGCAAACCATATCATAGCCGCAGTCTCCATAATAATTATCGTATAGAAAATGCCCAAAAAACGTCGATTTCTCCATAAGTCTTTAAGATACAAAGATTTCCCCTTGCTATCTGACTCCGTTTGCAAACGATCATAAATTAACCAAAATTTGTGATAATGCTCGCGTTTAAAGATCGCTTCCAAATATGCTATAGTTACAGCTATATCGGCGAAAACCACTTTGAGTATATCATTAAAATAGCCAAATATATCATTGGTAAAAAGATACTCATCATCGCCAAGGAACGTTACAAGTGCCATTATATTGAAAAATACCATCAGCACACAAGACCACAATGTTAGCCAACGTTCTACATTTATTTTACGTTTAAAATCATCATTTATTGAGAGTCCACAAAAACCAACAATCCTAAAAATTCTCATATGTATCCGTAAAATATTTGGTATGCGAGAATTCATGGTTACACAGTTACTGGTCATTGCAATTCTTATGTTATTTAGATGAGTTTTCTGTGATACGACTTTAGGTGTTAATATTATTGACTTATAATTAAATATTAATGTTTTATAGTAATTACAATTAATTAACATTGACAGTTACAATTTGTAATTAAAGTGTTGCAACATTAATTTAATGATGTGATAGGAAGTAAATGTGCGCATGCAATAGAAGTTTTTAAAAGGACTAATTAATTAGTCCTTAATGTAGCGATGGAATCAAAATTTCCGAAATTGACATCGCAATACATTTGTTAAAATGTGGACTAGTCATTTAACTAGTTTATGGACAAGACTATTGACTAGTTAATGAACTAATCTATATATACTAATCTATAGTATATGGGCTAGTCTATTAACTAGTCTATGTACATACTATTATATTAATTAGTCTATTGAATTATGTACTAATCTAGGCACTAGTCTATTATTAACTTGTTTATGGGCTAGAATATTGACTAGTTTATGAACTAGTCTATTTACTAGCCTATTGGCTAGTCTATGAACCATTCTTTTAATTAGTCTATGAACTAGTCTATTAACTAGTCTACAAACCTGACTAATAGCTAGTCTATATATTATTATATTAGCTAGTCTATTGAATAGTTTATGAACTAATTTAGGGACTAGTCTACTAACTAATCTCTGGACTGACTTGTCTATGAACTAGCATATAATCTGTTAACTAACCTATTGACTAGTCTATAAAACATTCTTTGTACTAGTGTAGTGACTAGCCTGTGCTCTAGCTTATTGAATAGTCTGTGAACTAATTAACTGACTAGTCTATTTAATCGGCTATCGACTATTTTTTTTTTTTTTGACTAGTCTATTCACTGGGTAATCGATTAGTCTTTGCTTTAGTCTATTAACTTGTCTATGGACTTCTACTGACTAGTCTACTATGTAATCTTTAGATTAATCTATTGAATAGCCTCTAGACCATCCAATTGTGTAGGCTATGGACTGGTCTATGGTCTTGTCAAGACTTTGGACTTGACTATGGGCAGTAGTCAATAGATAATTCAAACATTTTTGTTCTAGACTATATAGACTAGTCTATAGACTAGTAAAATATGGTCTAGATTTTAGACTAATAACAGGCTAATTTACTGATCCAAGCCACCTATTAACAACTATTCTTACCTGTGTACTAATGATGCCAGCTTCATTTTTAAACTGACTTATAATACTATGCAAGTTAAAAGTGATAAGTTTAACCTACAAAAATATGAGCAACAGTTAAAATAAAATTGGTATTGGCAAACCCTCCGCAAAAAAAAAACTCACCACATCCATGCAATTTTTTGAAGTAATTAAAAATGCTGGAATTTGTAAACAGGCTGGTATTAAGGTCATAAGTTCTGAAAATTACAAAAATAACTAAATAACTAACAATCAAGCCGAAAATCCTTTCACATACCTATTCTATTCCAATCGCGAAAGATCGTATAGTAAGCAAAATATGCATCAACCAAAACACGAACATAAATCATTAAGAGAACCGCCATTATAGAAAAACCAAAACCATTTTGAAAATGTTCAAACATTTCATAAATCATTTGATAATTTTTTTGCTTGTCTAGTAATTGTTTACGTAAAAATTCCTCGAATCCCCTAAAACCACAACCATAGGCCATAAAACGGGAATAATCAACCAATAAGCTTAAGTCCTCCTTTAGTTTTACCAATTCCAAACGTATTAGTTCGATATAGAAAATAAATTGCATATTACGCAAATGTACAGCATAGATAAAAGGCATAAAGACACTCCAAAACATTATCAGATGTCGTGTCATAGTTTGAAAATTAAAGAATAAAGTCAAAATTACTGCCTCCAATATAATGAATGTATAGAGTACACCAAAAAAACGAGAATTTTTCCACAATTTCCTTTCATCATTTGACTTCTTCTGTAAACAATTGTAAATAGTCCAAAATTTATAAAATTCTGATCGTTTAAAAATCGTTTCCAAATACGAAATAGTTACAGCAATATCGGCAACAAGAAATTTTAATACATCATTAAAATAGCCGAATTTATCAGAAGTAAAAAGATATACATCATCACTTGTGAGGGCTACAAAAGCCATAATGTTATATGCCACAAGTAAAACTAGAGACCACAAAGTAAGACAACGTTCTATGATGACATTGGGTTTGAAATTTTCATTTAGTGATAAGTTACAAAAACCCATTATTTTGAATATTCTTAAATGTAGCCGTAAAATTTTCGATATGTAAACTTTCATGTTGGCGTAGTTCATTACTGACTCTAACATTTCTTACGTTATAGGGCAATATGTGTTAGTTACTTTTACTGTCGTTAACATGATTAACTGCTTAGATGTAAATGCAATTAATTTTTATAGACAGTTTGAAATTGTTGTACTAAAAAACTACAAAAAGGACTAGAGAGCAATTAGGATTAATTCCTCAGATATACATATAATAAAACAATTCATACTGAAAATTATTTAAAATAAAAAATAATTCCATTTTGTTACAAGCATTTAAACTTAAACGTTTTTTTTTTTTTTTTCAAAACTTTAAACTTAAACCATTTTATAATTGAATGCTTCGCTACCCAAGTTGAAGTTAAATTAAAACAAAATTTAGATTACAAAAGGATTTCTTACATTCAAATAGTAGAAGCTAAGCAACGTACCAAAAGTCCTCTCGTACAGATTATCTTATGAATGAATGCATTCATGTCCCTGTATGTTTAATTTTATGTTTATATATTCAATATTATTAAAAATTCAAAAAGTACCAAAAAAGTTCAGTGTATAAAGTTTCATGTCACAGAAAAGCTCAAGCGATATACATTAGGGTTCTATAAATCGACTTTCGAATAATCGAACAATCGACTTTTTGTCGAAAAAAGTCGAATTCGACTATTTTGTTCCAAAAAAGTCGATAACTGGACTATCGTCTTTGAAAAAAGTCGACTTTGTAAATAAAAGTCGAAAAGTCGGAAAAAGTCGAAAAGACGGAAAAAGTCGGAAAAAATCGACAACTCGAAAATAGTAGAAAAAGTCAAAAATAGTCGAAAATTTTAAAAAAGTGGAAAAAAAGTCAAAAACTCTAAAATAGTCGGAAAAACTCGAAAAAAGTCAAAAAATAGTCGAAAATAGTCAAAAAGTCGACAAAAAAAAAAAGTCAAAAAAAGTCGAAAAGTCGAAAAAAGTCAAAAAGTCGGAAAAAGTCGAAAATTCGACTATTTATAAAATACTAAAAGTCTAAAAGTCGACTTTTAATTAAATGAAAAAAGTCGAAAAATCTACTTTTCATAAAATGCAAAAAGTCGAAAAGTCGACTTTTAACTAAATGCAAAAAGTCGAAAAGTCGACTTTTCGTTTCAACTATAGAACCCTAATATAAATATGTAGATCTGCGTTGAATTGCTCAAAAAACATGCAACAAGTAGGGTTTGCTATCCGAGTTGCAAACAAAAAACCATTTCGTGTGACTAAATCTACCAATTCTTACAATTTTATCTAAATTAACTCAATAAGTTCGAACAAAATTAAATTTCCCATTTTCATGCCCCTCTTGGTACTTTTTTCCTCCCTACTGAAGCAACAAAAATTATATTCCAAAAATGCTATAAATCGTATAAATACATTTTCATTTGTACGAACCATTAAATAGAAATCAATGCTTTTTTAAAAAAAGTATCAGAAATAAGTGCAATTTTTACCCCAAAAATAAATTTTTTTTACTAGAGCCCTGCATGAGTGACTTAAATAATAAATTAAAACATTTGATTTTTTTCAAACACTGTGTTTGACTCACTCATTGTTTTATGAATGAAATGAATAGTATATTTGAAAATAAGGAATGTTAGTCAATACTCAATTCAAACGAAACAAGTAATGAGAGTGTTTGTGTGATTCAATTCAAGTAGTATACAGTGAGTGAATCGAGTGAAAGCAAAACAATTTTTAAGTTCGACAAATTAACAGATTTTTTGAATATTACTTCGAATTTTCGAACTTAATTTCGAATAGTCGAAGATAATATAGTAGCGTCATCAACTGTACTTAACACTTAACACCAAATTTCAGCCAATTTGGTCCACGGGAACTGGTTTTATCAGCTTTAAATTTTTTTCGAACATGAGTTCGAATTTTCGAAAATTTTTTTTTTAGTTTTTTGGACTCAAAGAATAATTTAAAAGCATAAAAAATTTTTCGAACATAACTTCGAATTTTCGAACTTAATTTCGAATATTCGAACATAATATTATCTTGTCATCAATTGTACTCAAGACTACCAAATTTCAGCGAATTCGGGCCACAGGAACTAGTTTTAACAGCATTCAAAATTTTCACCATTTATTCAAGAAAAAGTTTGAATCGATTCATTCGATTCAAACAATCTATTTTGTATTGTTTTAACATAAACAAATTGTTTACTCGCTCGATTTGAATGTAGTTGCACATTCACTTGATAGTACTCACAACGTTTGAGTATAACAAAACTTTGTAAATACTATTCTAAACAAACAATGAGTTGAGTGCAAAGCAATGAGTCACTCATTGTGTGTAGCAAATAGAGTTACTCATGCAGGGCTCTAATCTACACATATCAGATTGAAACTAGAGTTCTAATAATAAATTTTCAAACAATATACTTTTTTATCAAAAAGTCCACTTTTTGTTTCAACTATAAAATTTTAATTGAAATCAAAATATTATTAGACACAAATTTTTTGATCGAAATTGATTGATTCGATATGCGTTTGATCTTTTATAAAGTAATAATTTAAAAATATGCAATCGATCGCATTCCGTTCATTAGAACTATATATTTAATTTATTAGGATTCAAAAAATGTACTTACCTGTGTGCTTATTATTGAATTTGTATTATTAAATTGGCTTATAATGCTGTGCAGGTTAAAGGTGATAAGTTTGATCTGTAAATATAAAAAGTACATTTTTCTTTTCGAATCGAAAATACAAATTCGATATTAAAATTAAATAATTTAAATTTTGACATAACTCACCACATCCATACAATTTTTTGAGGTTATTAAAAATACGGGTATTTCTAAAAGCGAAGGGCACAGCAGGGTAACTTCTACAACATTAAATTAACATATAATTTAATAATATCACTTGAAAATTTCCCCCAATAGATGTATATCATTACCTAATCTATTCCACTTATTATAAACAGAATAATAAGCAAAATATGAATCCACCAATATGCGAACATAAATCATGGAAAGTACAGCTACAATCGATAATCCAAAAGTGTTTTGAAAATGTTCAAACATTTCGTAAATCATTTGATATTGTTTTTGTTTCTCGACCAATTTTCGACGTAAAAACTCTTCAAATCCTTTAAAACCACAACCGTAAGCTACAAATCTTGAATAGTCAACCATTAAACTTAAATCATGTTGAAGCTTCACCAATTCCAAACGTATTAATTCTATATAGAATATAAACTGCATATTACGTATATAGGTCGCATAGGCCAATGGGGAAAATATACTCCAAAATAAAATCAAATGTCGGTTTTTACACTGCCATACAATGAATACAAACATGGCCAAGGCTTCGCAAAAGACAATGACATAGAATATTATAAGAAAGCGACCATTTTGCCATAACGACTTGATGTCAAAGATATTTATATCCTCTCCTGGCGATTTTTTGTGCAAACTTACATATATTTTCCAAAATTCTCTTAATGGTTTACGTTTGAAAATAGCCTCCAAATAGGAACATGTTACCGCAATGTCAGAAAATAAAACTTTAAGCGTATCATTGAAATATCCAAAAGCATCACCACGATAAAGAAATTCATCTGGACTAAATATCGCTATCATAGTGATAATATTGAAACATATTAAGAGTAAACAGGACCACAAAATAAGATAACGTTCTATTTTCATTTTATATCTAAGGTTATCATTTAGGGTTATAGTACAATAACCAATTATTGTAAAAATATAAAAATGATTTAAGAGAAATTTCGACATTTTAAGTGTGATGGAAATTAAATAACTGTTGTTGAGTTGTTTGGTCTATTGAGTGTGAAGAGTTTTGTAAAGTTTAAATTAACGCAGTGACGGAGGTGTATTATTCTATTGGATTATTTTGTACATAGTGTAAAAAAGGACTTAAGGTAAAATTTTGTAGGAATTAAATAAGATCAAGTGTGTTGACTTATAAGAGACTAAGGGCAATTCTGGACTCATCGTCATTTCTAGTTCAGTTCTGCTTCAGTTCAGTTCTAGTTCAGCTCTAGTTCATTTCTAGTTCAGTTCTAGTTCAGTTCTAGTTCAGTTCTAGTTCAGTTCTAGTTCAGTTCTAGTTCAGTTCTAGTTCAGTTCTAGTTCAGTTCTAGTTCAGTTCTAGTTCAGTTCTAGTTCAGTTCTAGTTCAGTTCTAGTTCAGTTCTAGTTCAGTTCTAGTTCAGTTCTAGTTCAGTTCTAGTTCAGTTCTAGTTCAGTTCTAGTTCAGTTCTAGTTCAGTTCTAGTTCAGTTCTAGATCAGTTCTAGTTCAGTTCTAGTTCAGTTCTAGTTCAGTTCTAGTTCAGTTCTAGTTCAGTTCTGGTTCAGTTCTAGTTCAGTTCTAGTTCAGTTCTAGTTCAGTTCTAGTTCTAGTTCAGTTCTAGTTCAGTTCTAGTTCAGTTCTAGTTCAGTTCTAGTTCTTCAGTTCAGTTCTAGTTCAGTTCTAGTTCAGTTCTAGTTCAGTTCTAGTTCAGTTCTAGTTCAGTTCTAGTTCAGTTCTAGTTCAGTTCTAGTTCAGTTCTAGTTCAGTTCTAGTTCAGTTCTAGTTCAGTTCTAGTTCAGTTCTAGTTCAGTTCTAGTTCAGTTCTAGTTCAGTTCTAGTTCAGTTCTAGTTCAGTTCTAGTTCAGTTCTAGTTCAGTTCTAGTTCAGTTCTAGTTCAGTTCTAGTTCAGTTCTAGTTCAGTTCTAGTTCAGTTCTAGTTCAGTTCTAGTTCAGTTCTAGTTCAGTTCTAGTTCAGTTCTAGTTCAGTTCTAGTTCAGTTCTAGTTCAGTTCTAGTTCAGTTCTAGTTCAGTTCTAGTTCAGTTCTAGTTCAGTTCTAGTTCAGTTCTAGTTCAGTTCTGGTTCAGTTCTGGTTCAGTTCTAGTTCAGTTCTAGTTGAGTTCTAGTTGAGTTCTAGTTCAGTTCTAGTTCAGTTCTAGTTCAGTTTTAGTTCAGTTCTAGTTCAGTTCTAGTTCAGTTCTAGTTCAGTTCTAGTTCAGTTCTAGTTCAGTTCTAGTTCAGTTCTAGTTCAGTTCTAGTTCAGTTCTAGTTCAGTTCTAGTTCAGTTCTAGTTCAGTTCTAGTTCAGTTCTAGTTCAGTTCTAGTTCAGTTCTAGTTCAGTTCTAGTTCAGTTCTAGTTCAGTTCTAGTTCAGTTCTAGTTCAGTTCTAGTTCAGTTCTAGTTCAGTTCTAGTTCAGTTTTAGTTCAGTTCTAGTTCAGTTCTAGTTCAGTTTTAGTTCAGTTCTAGTTCAGTTCCAGTTCAGTTCCAGTTCAGTTCTAGTTCAGTTCGAGTTCAGTTTTAGTTCAGTTCTAGTTCAGTTCTAGATCAGTTTGAAATAAAACTTTTCTTCAATTTTTTAAGTAGTGATCCACTGTGCTTAGAAATTAATTTATTTTACTAAATATTGATGTTTATACAAACAAATTTATAACACAAATCAAAATCTTCAAATATTTCCCCACTTAATAGTTATGACAAATCTTTAAATTCGATAACATACTATCATTTTTAAAAATTAGAAACTTAGATTTAAAGAAAACAGCAAACCCCACAGTAAAATTTTGATTGGATTAATTAAAATTGTTAAAGAAATCTATAAAAAAAACAAATTAAGATTTGCATACTTAACTTGTGATAACATAATCATTGTACCACACTTTTTTGATAATCAGATATGAAGTTAAGAAAAAAACGAATTGAAATCTAACTAATACTAAAAAAAATGCCTGTGAAATCAAAACAGTTTAGTTAAATAGTTTCAAAACTGATTAAATACGGATATTTATTAAGAAATAAGAGATTGAAATCTTTAAATATTTCCCCACTTGTTAGTTAAAGATTGTTAAAAAATATTTGAGATAATTTAATGTTTAAAATCGTAAACAAAATGTTAAGTATTTGTAAATGTGACCAAACTTAGAAAAACCAAATAGAAATATCTATTGGACTGAATTAATTAAATTTTGACAGAAATCAATCAAAATACATGAACTAAGAATGTGAACTTAACATTGAGAAATACACATATAAATATATCAACGACTAACTAACTAATCATAAAAAGAAATATCAATTTATGTTTGAAACGACTTGACACCTTATTCAGACAGCTGTTTGCTGATTGTTAAATTAAAACCAATGACAAGTGTTACAATTTCTTTAAAATCGTGTAATAAAACTAATAAATAATTGATTAAAGTTAACACTAAATGTTTAAAATATATTAAAATGTAAATAGATACAGATGTATAAAAATAACTGAATTAACAATATACATTTAAAAGTATATTTTGATTGATAGATACAATTAGCAGGAACCTGTATTGTTCTAATGTTTAACAATATTTAAAAGTGTCAAATCAAATCACTTAATTATGAACATAATTAACGCGGTCAATCACCCTTGGGCTTGGTGTTTGGAACGTTAGTTACTCACAACAGCTATTTCAAATACCCACTACAACAAGACCGACAGAAATTAAGGTGTATTTAAAAAAGCTTTCTTTGCAGAAAATAAAATTCAATTAACGAAACAAAATAAATGCAAAACAAAGTTAAAAACGTGCATAAGTCTTAACAGGATTTTAACTGACGATATGACCGTTCAGAATTGTCATTTCGGGTAACTTGAAATGCATTTTAAGTAGTTTTTATATAGTTTCTTTTTTACCTGTTGGCGTAAAGTTTTATTTGTTTAACTTTAAATGTTTTGTTTAAAACAAATAACTCACGACCGCTCCTGACTTGCTCTAAAGCATGTGGCATGTTAATTAATCAAATATGTATACATATATGATAAAAATCTGTATTTCGTTTACCTAATATGGGTTAAATAAAATTTTAAATGCATTAACACTTTGTTGCCCTACTTTAATTAAGGCATACTAATAGTTTATAGTAACGTTTGAGTTTATAAAGAAAGTTTGGTTACGGTATTGTATATATAAATCAATCCTGAAAAATGTTTTTTTTTTAATTAAAAAAAGCAAAAGAAAAGTTTTTACAAGAACTAACGACGTTCGTGCTATAAATTAGAGGATTCAAATATTTTATCGTGATACTCTAATATTTATTTATTTGTATTTGGAGCCTAAGAAAAAAAATATATTGTGATTAGGGTTCTATAAATCGACTTTCGAATAATCGAACAATCGACTTTTTGTCGAAAAAAGTCGAAAATTCGAAGTCGACTATTTTGTTCCAAAAAAGTCGATAACTCGACTATGGTCTGTGAAAAAAGTCGAAAAGTCGACTTTGTTAATAAAAGTCGAAAAGTCGAAAAAAGTCAATAAGTCGAAAAAGTCGATAAGTCGAAAAAAGTCGATAAGTCGAAAAAAGTCGAATAAAGTCGAAAAAAGTCGAAAAGTCGTAAAAAGTCGAAAAAAGTCGGAAAAAGTCGAAAAAAGTCGGAAAAAGTCGAAAACTCGAAAATTGTAGAAATAAGTCAAAAATAGTCGAAAATCTTAAAAAACTCTACAATAGTCGGAAAAACTCGAAAAAAGTAAAAAAATTGTCGAAAATAGTAAAAAAATCGAAAAGTCGAAAAAAGTCGAAAAGTCGACTATTTATAAAATACTTATAGTCGAAAAGTCTAAAAGTCGACTTTTAATTAAATGAAAAAAGTCAAAAAGTCGACTTTTCATAAAATGCAAAAAGTCGAAAAGTCGACTTTTAACTAAATGAAAAAAGTCGAAAAGTCGACCTTTCGTTCAACTATAGAACCCTAATTGTGATTCGATTTGGTTTCGTAAAACTAACTGCATGGGACCATAATCTTCTTATTTCAACCATTTGCAAATTGGGCATAAATGAAGTATTTAGAAAATTTTAAAAGTGGAACGTGAATTTTTTTAAAGATTTACATATTCAGACAGGCAAATATCGTGAAATCGATACCAAACGAAATAATAAATTTTAATTACTAAAGCTAAAGTTGAAACCCAGAGTTTTCGAGATATCGCGTTCCAAAGTTTTGAAAAAATAATGTTTGTGGTCATATTTGTTTTCACATCTGAATGTTGAATCTGTCAACTTTAAAGAAAGTTTTACCTCTGTAATATAATCTTGTGATATCTAAACCTAAAACTTTAAACAACTTTAAATGAATATGGTCGATATCTCAACAAAAATTTGTCAATTTATGGCTATTTCAAGATAAAGAGACGAGGTTTTTCTGAAAAATTACAACAAGTTATCTCGAAAACCTAATGCCAGAATCGGATTCAGCGCAGATAAATCTTTTTGAAAAGTATACTTTGGTCTCTGGCTTAAACATTGGTTGACCTGTGTAATGTTAAAATTTTCAAAAATTGTTCATATATTTTTAAGGGATTTTAAAATTTATTATTGCCGATTTTTTAATCCACAATAACTTAACATAGAAATTATAATACTTTTAGGCCAAGTTATTGTCTGCCATTGTACTAATACTTAACTACATAAACGGACAATTCCAAATAATAAAATAAAATGTCGGAGTTAACAACTATCTTTAATAAAGACAAGGAAACGCCAGTAGTTTTGAATACACTATTTGTAATTCTTATAAAAATTTCCTATTTCTTGGGTTTATCAATTTTGACTAACAAGAAAATTACCAATCGTTTGCAAAAATTGTGGAATTTTAAATGGTGTTTTCTAAACATTATTTTATTTACAATCTTACATATTTTAATAAT